CATTACACAGGGTACTTATTCCCCCACGCAAGGACGCAGCGTCCTCAGGTCAGCCGCCCCTGCGCTGGACCCACTGGATCTAATGTAGCCTTGGGCTCCCCCTCTGGAAGTGGGGCTCGGATGGGACAACGTCTCAGGGTCCTGCCTGCTCTGGGCCTGGCATCTCAGACTGGAATCCAGGCTCTTTCAGAGAGGACAGACAAGAGGGCCAGGGGAGGGATTTCTCTGTTCCCGAGAAGGAGGTGACAGATGACCCTTACTGTGTCACCTAGCCTACTGATGAGAGCAGCTGCCTTGAACACAGACACAGCGAGGATGCATCCTTGCGTGTGCAATGCACGCTCATGCCATGTCGGTGCGTAGTCGTGCTGGGTCGGAATCTTGACGGCCACATTCCCAATGGACAGCACTGTGCCGCCTTCGCGGGGCTTATATATTGGTTGAATCAATAAACACGTTGATGAGAAGAGGCAGGAGTTTTCAAACTGCGCTGATCGGGAGCCCAGTTGCGGTCATTAATCAGACGCCCTCCAAAAATTCAGTGCATGACCAGATGGTCTGGAATGTTAGCTTTTCCTCCCTTAATTGTCGGCAAACTTTAGGTCTGGCAGAAAACTCACATGCAGGAAACCGCGCAGATTTGCTCCGTGCAAGGAACAAATGGATCTTAACGGAGAATTGTGGGAACAGCCGTTTTGCGCCGGCCTCCACAGCTTGCTCCCTGTCCGGACCACATACTTGCTCTTGGGATCTTTCTGTACTCCATTCAGCAGTCATGCCACTCCTGGAGAAAGCCTTGGTGTGATGAAATTCAGTGTCTGTCAGCCTGTCCCATTCACCTTAGCCATGCTGCGTCTGCTCCCACCACCTGGTTCCTCCCAACCCCTTGCAAGCCGCCCCCGCCCCCAGCACGGCCCTGACTTGGCTCTCCCAGGCCACCAAATCCGCTCTGTTCTCACATTACCTGACATCTCAGCAGCATTTGATCGTGTTGACCACAGTGTCTCTTTCAAAACATGGGCAGCCCTGGATTCCAGGGCATCTGCTTTTCCACTCCTCCTCCTGATGCGGGCCGAGCCTGTCGGTTTCCTTTGCTGGCCCCTCTTCCTCTGTCCTCCCTCAAATGTGGGTGCTCCTCTGGGCTTGGCTGGGAACCTCCTCCCTGTGCACACTCTCCCTGGGGGCACCTTCACCTGAGACCTGGGGAAGCAAGAAGCCAAGTCCCGCTGCGCCCCCGAGGCAGTGGTGGGATGCTGGTCTTTAGGTTAGCAGGGGTGGTTTTTAAAGGGTGAGGGGTGATGTAGTGAGATTTGCATCTTGAAAAGCTGGCTGGCTGCTTTTTTTGGAGACTGGCTTGGAAGGAGCAAGGCTAGAAAGGGCTATTGCACTAACCCACGTGAGAGTTGGTCCAGGGAGGTGGTAAAAAGATTAAGAGGCTCCTGGACACAGTGAAAAAGAATGTGACAATGAATACATGTATGTTCATGTATAACTGAAAAATTGTGCTCTACACTGGAGATTGACACAACATTGCAAAATGACTATAACTCAATTTTAAAAATGTAAAAATACATACATACATACATACTTGGTTTAGAGGGAAAAAAAGAGGCTTGTGGAGAAGGAAAATCAGGAGAACTGAGTGATGGATTAGAGACCAGAGGAGGGAGGAGAAGCCTGTGTCAGAGATGCCTGCTCCGTGTCTGGCTCCGGGTCTGGACCACATGCTGCTCACTGAGGCCGGGAACATTTGGGGGAAGGAGCACGTCGTGTGCTCATATCCGCAGCTCCAACTGCTCGCGCCGGAGGCACCTCAGACAGTCTGTACAGATGGATCTTGGCATCTTCCCTCCAAAACTGCTCCTCCTCCAGGGTGCCTTTTCTCAATGTGAGACGCCGCCAGCCATCCAGGCTCCGGGCTCAGAGGTCTGGGGGAGGCTGTGGCCAGAGTGCAGGTGAGCAGCCAGGGCGTGTCACAGACGGGGAGGAGGCATGCTGTGAGCAGGAGTGGGCTGAGATGAGCGGAGGGGCTGAGATACCTGGGGGCTGGAGCGTGGCCACTTTCTCCACTGCTCTCAGGAGTCCCAGAGGCCGCTCTGGTCAGCTCCTAGGTCTCACTAGGGCTGTAGCAGCCCCACCCCTGGAATATTTTTGGAAGTGGTGGATGTCCACAGAGCTGTGTAATTATATCTCTTGCGATTCATTTGATTGATAAGTGCTTCCCCCGCTAAACCCTATGTTCCATGAGGGCAGGGAACATAGGTCTCAAAACTGCCAAAGATCCTAACCTTATTCAAAAGGAGACGCACCCCCAGCTCATAAAGAGCACCTTGGATATGGCTCTTCCGCCCAGGGTCTGACCAGAACAAGGCAGGGGAGAGAAGCGGGCCTGGGGCAGGGCCCCCGGATCCACTGCGGGTGGGGATGCTCGCACCCAGAGAGCCTCTGAGCCCACCCAGGGCCTCTGAGCTCAAGGACAAAGCCGACACAAAAACTCAATAATAACTGCATTTCCCGGGATCAGCGACACCCTTCCCACCTGTGTGTGAACCCCAGTCTTACCCAAATCACTCCCTCCAGGTAGGAGAGGTTCCAGGACATCCAAGGCTTCACCATGTAAATTACGGTCCATGACTGAATGTGATGCAACCATTAAAAACATCTGAAAAAACAAAAACAACATCTGTGCCGAGTGTAAAGACACAGGAAAAGCCTCATGTCACAGTGTTAGATGAAAGATGAACAAGATGGCATCTTCCGTGGACAGTAACGTCCAAAGTAGATTAAAAACGCATGGGGAAAGGGCGAAACGCAGTGTTCTCAGCATCACAGCATGTTTCTGAGAAGCAGGACTGTTTTTATTTTCCTTTTTGCCATGAATGGGGACCTTTCTAGTAAGCACCGGGCGGCTGATTCCCTGCCTTAGTGCCCCGGAATCTTCCAGAACAAGCCATAAGACCAGCTGGCTAATAAGTCCAAACCAGAGCACTTTACAGAGCAGAAAGGGACTCTGGCCAACAGCCATAAACCTAGCCTCGGCCAGGCAAACCAGGGCTTACGGTCACTCAACCCAAACCAGTCCCAGCCACACCTCTGCCCACACTCCCCTCCCCTGTGGGTTCTGTGGCCTAAACGTATGGCCACAGTTTGGTGGTGCTGGGATCCAAACCCAGGCTGGCTCTCAGCCACTTTGACAGAGAGTCTACTGTGAACACCACGCGGGGCGTTAACTCCACCCGGCTCTGCAAGTTAAGCACGAACTAGCTAACCTTTGTCCCATTAAAGGGGAAAATGTGCACGGATGTCCACCCTCCTTGATGGAAAAGGCTGGGTCGGTGTCGCTCTACAACGTGTAAGGTGTTGAGCAGGACCGGAGATCCTGAGCAATCAAAGGGCAGCTGGTGACAGGGGGAGGGTATAGAGCTCAGTGGTAGAGCACGTGC